TCGTCTATTTTCACTTTCGAAGTGCAATTTAGCAAAATCGCCCAATTTCCTTTCAAGTACCTCCGTCTAATTTGCTTATCGTCTAAATTCTCAACCCCCGATAAGAACATCAACATTTTTTCTTGAGAATGAGATTACACAAAAACAAATAGACTCTATGGTCTCAGAACTGATCAAAATTATTATTGTGAGTTAATTAGAAAACAATAAATCGAAACAAGTCTGCTCGTACCAAGGCGAAGCCCTGAATATTCCGACTGCCTTTTAAGGTTTTATGGAGCAGTAATAACATCCAAAAAAAATAAATGTATCAAAACAATTGAAAAAGTTTTTTTTTCTCTAAAATTTGAAATTTTTTTTGAAAATCATCCCCCTACACGCCATATTAAGTACAAAAGGATAGATTTCGCTCCTTGTAACAAATCAATTATGGCAAATAAGCTTCTTTCAACCAATTTGGAACGATTTTAAGACGGATTAACTCTCCGCTTACGCGTTAATAGTGCGAATTATATTGCGCGTTATTTGTCCCAAAATGGCAATCTTTAAACCCCCATAACTTTACGAAAAATGACCACAGGTGAAAAATATTTTCAAATTTGAGCTCAGGACAACAAGAGCTTTCGAATGATATAAAAAGATTTTGTCAAAAATGGCTAGTTAAAAAGCCGAAATTTGTCTGAAGAAAAAAAACACGCACTTCGAGCACTTCGTCTGGTGCCACAGGTTTTTCCACTGGCGTCAAATATTATTTTTCAAAAAACTGATCACTCTGCCGAAAATAGAAAACAATTTGCGATTGCTCTCCCTGTGGCACAGTTCAAAAAAAGTTGACACTTCCTTTTTTTTAAATATAGATATTTTTGTGTTTGGTATGGTTTGAATTTAAGCTTCAGAACAAGTTAAAATACCTTTATTAAATTACGAAAATAATATTGTGGCCTATTTTTTTACTGTGTTGAATTTTTATTTTGAAATTAGAATGCATCAAAAATGGTATTTTAATTGCAATATTTCTTGCTTTTTATTATTAATTGCATTTCGAATCATTGCATTTTGATTCAAAATATTCGGATATAAATATGACATTTCACTTGACTCCATCTGACATGTATTTGTATTAGGTGAATTTGCGTGGAAAATAAATAAATACACTGGCATGCAAGAGAGCTGTAGTCAGAATGGGGCCTTGGAAATTAGACGATAAGCAAATTAGATGACAGTAAATAAATTTAGACGATAACTGTTTGTGAAGTTAAACGATAAGAACGGGGCCTGGGAAATTAGACCATAAGCAAAATAGACGGATGCTACAAAAAGGAAATTAGGCGAAATTTGTTCTTTACAGATCTGGCATTTTAGACAAAATTTTTTCTTAGAGTCAAGTTTCACAAATACAAAAAGAACATAAATGTCAAAACAATTAGTTTAAATGAACATAAAATGTCGAATCCGAATATTACAGGAGAGCTTTGAATTGAATAAATTTTGCAGGATTGACTTAAAAAATTTTCGGCCAACGAAATTTAACTTGTCTGCAAATAATTTTGTTTTTCTCATGCATTTTGTCGGCAAACCGTTTTGATTTCTCTCACTTTCGTCTATTTTCACTTTCGAAGTGCAATTTAGCAAAATCGCCCAATTTCCTTTCAAGTACCTCCGTCTAATTTGCTTATCGTCTAAATTCTCAACCCCCGATAAGAACATCAACATTTTTTCTTGAGAATGAGATTACACAAAAACAAATAGACTCTATGGTCTCAGAACTGCTCAAAATTATTATTGTGAGTTAATTAGAAAACAATAAATCGAAACAAGTCTGCTCGTACCAAGGCGAAGCCCTGAATATTCCGACTGCCTTTTAAGGTTTTATGGAGCAGTAATAACATCCAAAAAAAATAAATGTATCAAAACAATTGAAAAAGTTTTTTTTTCTCTAAAATTTGAAATTTTTTTTGAAAATCATCCCCCTACACGCCATATTAAGTACAAAAGGATAGATTTCGCTCCTTGTAACAAATCAATTATGGCAAATAAGCTTCTTTCAACCAATTTGGAACGATTTTAAGACGGATTAACTCTCCGCTTACGCGTTAATAGTGCGAAATATATTGCGCGTTAATTGTCCCAAATTGGCCAAAATGGCAATCTTTAAACCCCCATAACTTTACGAAAAATGACCACAGGTGAAAAATCTTTTCAAGTTTGAGCTCAGGACAACAATAGCTTTCGAATGATATAAAAAGATATCGTCAAAAATGGCTAGTTAAAAAGCCGAAATTTGTCTGAAGAAAAAAACCCATTTCGAGCACAAATATTCCGTCACTTTCGTATCGAATGTCGGAACAAAAACAAATTACGTTTTGAAATGCTTAAGTTACACAAATAAACATTTATAAGCAGATTTGTGGTTAGACAACCAGTGTTTACTCAAGCAACAGATGAATTGATTCTGTAAATAAATTTCACGGAATTTGCATGTAAGTTATAGTCTAGAGTCTTTAACTTTCAGGTCGTCTAATTTGCTTGTCTAATTTCCTAAGCTAATAAACACCAGTCAGAATAACTGATCTGTTTGTGTACATAACGACCTTGCGAGCGTAGTGTTATTACGAGCATTTTTTGCCAACTGAACTCGCATAATTTAGTGCTCAAATTTTGTGGCACTTTTGTAGCTTAGAATATCAATTTTATTGCATGTGTTCATCCGCTTTATTTCTGACTAGTGTTTGAAGAGACTAAGAGACAGTGGATGCATCGTGGTGATAGTAGCTTTTAAATCTGTAGGTCTAAAGTTCGAGGGCTTTTTTCATCTTTTTAAGCATTTTTTCTTAATTTCGTCCGGTCTTCTAAGCTCTTTCTGTCGCGTATTGTGAAGTGAAGCTTCGCCTCTGTGTATATAGTTTCAACTTTTAACAATTTTTAGAACAGTTTTGGAAGTTATTTTACTATTGCAATTACTAAAAGTGACTAAAAAATGTGTCCTCAAGTTTTCCTACCGATCTAGGAACATTACGTATCAATTTGCTGTTACGATTTTTTTTGAAGATAGTGACGGAATATAGGGTCTAATGCACAAAACGGCGCAAAATTAGTATTTTTATATTTTGAGCTAACATTTATGCTGTACTCAGACAATTCATTGTATCAGACGAGACAAATCTAGTAAAATGAGGTAAAATTCAGCAGAATAAAATTTATCTGCTGGAAATTTTAGTTGAATGCCGGTCCTTGTTTTTTGGCTAATTAAACACTAAAAAGCAATCAGATTCATCCTTATTATTTCGAGGTTGAATTTGAACAAAAAAGATGTGGACATTTTGATTTTTAGCCGTATAGTGCATGAGGCCCGGAATATTTGTGCTCGAGTGATTTTTTCTCCAGACAGACTTATACTTTTTAATTAGGATTTGTTGACAGAATTTTTTTATATATCAACCGAAAGATTTTGTTGCTTTAAGCTCAAATTTATAAGATTTTTCACCTTTTTCTTAAAGTTAAGAGGGCTTAAAGATTGGCAATTAGGGGTGATTAACGCGCAATAGATTGTTTTTAATTGAAGAATGCTACTTGGTCTACTCTATATAGCTATATTCGGAATATCACTTTGTACTTTACGCAGTGTGGGGAATTACTTTTCAAAAGTAAGGAAAATTAAGCATCCATTTTTGAAATTTTTTCAAACCGAGGACTATTCTAGAGACTTTAAAAGGCAGTCGGAACATTCAAGGCGTTGCTTTTAACCCAGCAGTCTCATTGAAATAGCTGCTGAGTGCGTGCTAATTTATAGGAACACGGGCAAATTTTATTTTTTTTTAAACTAAATTTGCTCTAGAAAAACCCAATTTTGCAAGTGGATTTTCGTTCATTTTGTAAGTCAAAACCGGATTTGTTTTTGACCTCCAAAATTGTTCCAAAGTATTCAAAAGATTACAAGCATGTATATGCCGTTTTTAGACTAGTAATTGCAGCTGAGTTATGTCGGAAATGATTTTTTTTATCGTATATCACTCAACTGCTTATAATGTTGGGTTGAGTTACCTTATTTTGCGCAAAAAGCATTTAAACTAAAGGTTCTTTCCTCTTTGTGATTCTAAAAAACGTGGTAAAAAGATTTTTTTTTTGAATTCCAGCATCAAAATTTCAATGTTGATTCGGATCAATTGAGCAATCTCCGCCCCGTAATGACCAATTGAGCTATCTCCCCCCAGCAAAAACGAATAAACTTTACAAAAAGACGTCAGCAAACGCAAGTAGATAGATGATGTGTTTATAGCACGCAATCAATTGACCGAATGAAGTTTTTCTTACATGAGTATCGAGAAAAAATTTTGAAAAAACATCGAAATTTATGAAAAAAAAAATGTTTTTTTTTTTGCAAAACTTTGTTTAAGCGACCATAGCCTCGTCGAAGAAAGCAATTTACCAGGGTTGGTGCTCTAGCCTTGTATCTGAATAGCGAAAACGGTTCTCCGCAGCACCTTAATATTGTTCGCAAAAATTTTTTGTCAATTTAAGAAAGAAGAAAGTCGCTTTTTATGCCTGTTTTATTGATTCTTTTTTCAATCTAAATGAAACTTTAGAGCTTTTTTATCGTAAATTTTGGCTTTCCACATTCGTTGGAAAATTTGTTTTATGATTTCATGTCATTCAAACTATTTTCAAGTGGTTATAAACATGTCTCAAATACCTATTGAGCTATCAAACCCCCCCCCCCCCCCCCCACGCGAGAATGGGAGGGGGGGGGGGGGGGAGATTGCTCAATTGATCCGTTGATTCATTATATCGGAAATATTTTGATATATATGCTCGCAGCATCTCAAGAAATACATCTTTCACAAAAAAATAAGATACACCTGATATCTGTCACAAAACAAATTCACAAACATTCAACCTTAATTTTTTTCTAAATCAATTATTCTTTTCAATACATTTTTGGCTTGAGTTTGATTTCATTTGGGTTTTTTAATTACCTAATGTGAATTGGTTTGATGGGGGACTTTGAAACGCGCATACGGATAATTTGTTAAACGATTTTTTAATATGTTTTCGTGGAAAAAACTGTCAGCTTAGTTTGCGGTATATCTTTTAGCTTGCTTTTTTAGTTTGAAGTTTCTACGCATACAGAAGAATTCTTAAAGTATTTGAGGTTTGTTTTGAAACCTACTTGTTTTTCATTTTTTTTATCAAAAATTTATATTGAATTATACCTTATATGCTAAAAAATGCAAAAAAATATTAGGGACTAGTATTTTTCCGTTTCATTTGATCGAAAGTATGCTTTTTCTTCATTTTAAAACATTTTGGATTAAACAAGCGAACCAGTGTGTATTTTCAATCAGTCTAACTCGAACATTGTTTTAGTCGCACATTATATGCGTTAAGTCCAACGCTAAAGTAGAATCAACGCTGAGATTGTTAAAATAGACTTTTGTTTTGGTTAAAAATTGTTTTGATTGTGATGAAATTTTTTTACATTAACAAAAGTTCCTAAATTATTCAGCCCGAAACTAAAGTTTATTTTAACCTTTGATCAGACTTTGCAACGTTTTGGGGGTTTCAGCAACTGCCTGCTTGGGATTAAGAATGCGCTCTATTTGACAATTTTTATTTAATGCTTAAGCGAAAGTGGTTAAATTATCTGTCTCATTAAATTTGAAAAGAGCCAATTTGGTCTTTTCAAGGAGTTACTTGACGCTAATGAAATGCTCTTATTTTTGAACTTGTTCTTCGACGTTTTTTGAAGTCAAAGGTTTCGTCTTTGAGCTTTTTTGGCTTCTTTTTATTTGAGCTGTAGTTAGCATAAATTTGGTGTCGTGTGTTTTTTTTTCAATTCCTCAATGGCAATCGTTTTGATAGGTGACTTGTAAACGCGCATATGGATAACTTTTTAAAAAGGATTTTTTGATATATTTTTGTAGTATTGGGGAATATCGTTTTTTGAAGCTGTTTAATAAAACAAATTCTGTCAGCTGAGTTTGTGGTTGACCATTTGATTTGCTCATTCAGTTTTTCCAACTGCGTTCTGTATTTTTTATGCTTAAAATTGAATGTATGAAGCATTGAGTTATGTTTGAAAACTATTCGGTTTTCAGTTTTTTTTAAATTCATGTTGAGTTCGGTTTTATATGCCAAAAAGTCTGATAGAACTGGTGGAATAGTAGTATTATATTTTTGAGTATTATATTTTGTGGCTACTCCTAGTTATCTATGATTTGCTTCCTCCGTATTCATGCTGGCTTTAATGGTTGTTGGTGATTGACTGTAGCTCAAAAAGTCAGCTCAAAAAGATAATGTTGAGTTTTAAGACGTTTTTCCGCGGTTTTAAATTTGGAAATCAAGTGATTTGTCTGGTGAATCATTTTTTTGTGGGAATCCTGAAAGTCAGCACTCTTTTGACACAATTCATAAGAAAAATTTGAAAAAAAAAATGTTTCCTTTTAAAGCTTCAAGTCTACATGCTGTTTTGTAAACTTAAAATTTGATGTGAAAACTTTTTTGCTCATAAAGTTAAATGTGAAAAGAGTGCTATTTCGTTGAAAAAAAAACAGTTCAGACGTGAAGAAACGAACAATCTGACATTGAGAAAGTGTACAATGAAGTTGCTGCTTCGTCTCAGTTTTCTGCTATGTACAGCTAATGCATTGAAACGATCGTGTAAGTTTGATATAATTAGTTAGAGGAAAATTCAACTGGGCTCTAAAAATCATTCTCGATATAAACTCAACTATAAACTTTTGACATGATTGATTATTTTTGTAAGAAAAATGGGTTGTATGGATTGAAATACGAACAAGGCCGCTCTTTTACGGAAAAATCCCGGTTTCAACTGCCCTTTAAAAATTTTTGTGGTTTTGGGCAAAAAATGATATAACTCTCAAACAAACGTGTCTGATATGTCTCAACTGAAGTATTAAGTTTGAACTTTTTCCTGCTAAACTACTCCTCCTTCCCCCCTCTCTCCAGATAAATGCAACATTTTTACAAAAAACCATTTATTTTACGAGGTGTTGTATATAAAGACAAAACTTTAGTGTTTGCTGGGTAGACAAAACAGATTCCAGATTTCATGACAATCGGGCGCCGTCAACAAAATTTAGAAATATTAGAAAAAAATTGGGGGAAAATTGTATAGCCGCAAAAACTAGCAAAAAATCTAGTTTCCTCAAAGTGATTTTGTAAGGTTCAAAAATATTGATCACATATAAATCTTGAAATTCCAAAACTTTCAAAGACCATTGTTTTTATTGTCTTTTATAAAAAAAAAATTCAGTCTATTACTGGCTTTTTTTCTAATTTCCCCTTTTTCCACATTCTTTTGCTTTATGACCATTGTTAAAATATTTTTTCAAAATTGAAATTCAAATTTGGTTGCTATTTGAAATTCAATTTTGAAAAAAAACTTTTTAACAATGGTCATAAAGCAATATAATTTGGCACGGTGAAAAAACTATCTATTTTGAACAATTTTTGTTAACCATACTGTATATCCTAACATCAGGCATTTAGCGATAAAACAGCTATGAATTGAAGAAAATTTGTAATGTGAAAGGAGTGCAAAAGAGCCCATTTTGTTTTGGTTTTTGTTTGGCAGTGACAGTTTTTGGAACAAAAAAGCATATTGGTCGCGTCCGATAAAGAACCTTAATCGGAGTTTGTTTTAGCGGAGAGAAGCAAGCTCTGGGGGAAAAGCGTAGGGAGACGTAGTGCATGTGCGAGCCCAAAATGTAAGTTTTTTTTACATTGTGGCCTTCGTTTTTTGTAATCTTTTCGTATTCTAAAAAGAATTAGGATTTTTTCTAGAATTAGCTAAGTAGAAAATTTCGATCGAACAGTATATTGTTAATTGGTTCTTCCGACCTCTGAACTGCTGGCTTCATTGTCGTTGAGTGACAGGTTGAATGTTGAACCGTTGTGTGAGCTTCGCTGTAATTTCCCGCTCGTCTTCTTCCTTCTGTTGTTCGTCTAGACATTTTGTTTTATCGGAAAAAGCCACAGTAGATTTTCTGCAATCTTTTTTACTACTGAATGCATTAAATGTTTTCCTCTCAATAGTTCTCTGAAGGCTTACAATTTTGGTGGAGGTTGGCTGCTCTCTCTTTTCTTTGGAATCGCCCATTTTGCCATTGGTGGTAACTGTGATTCGGATGCTTCTTTCCTTTGTGATTCCCTCTCACGGCTGTTGTGGTTCCGGTAGAATTTTGTTCAGTTTTGAACATTTTGGTTGCCATTGCAACTTGTCGATGACGTGTTGCGCAGAAAAATTTATCATCCAAATTTTTTGATATTTTTTGTTTCGTTTGAGCTCGGACGTACTAGTAAACTTAATCTTGGAGTTTTGCATGAAAAGTTTTATTCATGCTATCACGAACTTTTCGACTAAGTAAAAATCTTTCCAAGGCTCTTCGTTTGGTTGTTGTGATAAGTCTAAATTTATAATTTATTCGGTTTTTATGAATTAAAACCAGCTGTGAGCGACCTATGCTCCGTAGCTAGTGCCAACTTTTTGTCTATTGTTTGTATAATATTTGAATCGGTCGGTGAGTTGCCCAAAGAACTGCTAACAGTTCGAGTTTATTGGTAGAGCAATTCTTCTTTTAGGTGTTTCAAACATATCTGTGTTTGACCCCTTTTTTGTGAGTAGCTTCAAGTTTTCAGTTTCTTTTCTTTTCATTCTCTTTTTCCAGTGGTCGTCTCAAACTCTTTGTTGAATTAGCAGTTGTGGATAATTTTTGGTATATATGGTTCATGATTCTGAGCATGACTTTAGTTTTTCAACGAAACTTGAGTTTGCTATTTTTATGTCCTCCAGATTTTGTGTTGTCGTTGCCCAGCTCAAAAATGATACCAAACATTTCTACCCGTGTCTGTATTTATTAGTATTATCTGATTACCTACTCTCTCCAATGCTTTCAGTGTCTTTGTTCTATTCCTTTTTTGATCTTTTCAGATAATTATCAACAGTGTATCCTTCGATGGGGTCATGCAGTCTGTTTTTTCCCAGTCCTTCATATTTACTATTGTACGCTTTCATTTTGAAATGCCAGTGTTTTGAACTCATCACTAAACTCGAAGTCTCCTATTAATTTGCATTTTTTCTGTGCTAATTCAATCATATCTCGGATTGACTCTTTTAAGACTTCGATGTCAGCTGGTTTTTCCTGTTATATTTTTCTTCTTCGCTGTTCATAGGGGAAAAATCTATATACAGATTTCTCGATCCCCAGCAATTATTGCAGCAATGTTTTAGGCATTTCTTGGCTTTCCTGCTGTACAAGTTGATTCTTCCAATAGATCTTAAGGTGTCCTCCTTAGTCCTTAGAGCTTAAATCCTCCTCCAGAAACATTTCATAACCATTCTTCTAATATCACTTTGGAAACTGTTGATGAACTCTTGTGGATCCCCGAAGGTCCTGATTCTTTTTGCTGGAAATGATCTTCTATTTTAAGGATGTGCATTCAAGCAATTTAATGCCATGATGAATGCCTCTACGCAGGGGCGAATCCAGGATTTTCTCGAGGGGGGGGGGGGAGGTTTTTCATAAAAATTTTCGAAAATTTTGACCTTTTTTTTAGGTCGACCAAATTGATTTTCCGAGCTCTCCTAAATCACTAAAAAGACGCTGTTTCAAATTTTTTGCACCGCATGCAAATTTTTGAAAAACGGTCGAAAAGCCGTTTTTGGGCACTTGTTGGAAAATTTTGACAAAGATATCGCGTTTTTTTTTGGCGCGCGCTCCCCCTCAAAATTGGCGCTTTTACAAAAATTTTAAGGTCGGTCGGCCAAAAATTGGATTTCTTAAAAAGTACCAAAGGGGGACCCGTTGGGTCAGCAGGGGTCGAATCCCTGAGGGGGGAGGGGGTGGGGGGGAGGTCGTCTGCCTTACGCCCCCCCCCCTAAATCCGCCCCTGCCTCTACGTATGTTTGCACTACTAAGAACATAGGCGCTACGCGCAATACACCGAAGGCATAGAAATTGAAGCAAAAACCAAACAACTTGAACAACTAATAATTGAAGAATAACAGTTCTAGAACAAAAAATCGTACTAATACATGTATACACCAAAATTTTGCTATATCGAGAAAGAGCCTGAAATAACAGTTCTAGAACTAAAAATCGTACTAACACATGTATAGGTTAAATTTTTGATATATCAACGAAGATCATAAAATAACACTTCTAGAACTAAAAATCGTACTAACACATGTATACACCAAAATTTTACTATATTGACAAAGGGCCTGAAATAACAGTTCGTGAGCTAAAAATCGTACGAACACATGTATACACCAAAATTTTGCTATATTGGCAAAGATCATGAAATAACAGTTCGAGAGCTAAAAATCGTACTAACACATGTATACGTCAAATTTTTGCTATATTGACAAAGATCATGGAATAACAGTTCTAGAGCTAAAAATCGTACTAACACATATATACACCAAAATTTTGCTATATTGACAAAGATCATGGAATAACAGTTCGAGAACTAAAAATGGTACTAACACATGTATACAATAAAATTTTGATATATTGACAAAGATCATGAAATAACAGTTCGAGAACTAAAAATCGTAATAACACATGTATACACTAAAATTTTGATATATTGACATAGATCATAAAATAACAGTTCGAGAACTAAAAATGGTACTAACATATGTATACGCTAAAATATTGCTATATTGACGAAGAGCCTGAAATAACAATTCTAGAGCTAAAATCGTACTAACACATGTATACACCAATATTTTGCTATATCGACAAAGAGCCTGAATAAACGTTGTAGAACTAAAAATCTTACTAACACATATATACACCAAAATTTTGCTATATTGACAAAGAGCCTGAAATATTGACAAAGGACCTGAAATAACAATCGTAGAACTAAATGTCGTACTTACGCATTGTAGATCAATTTCTATAGCTATAAAAAAATACAAAAGATTGTGTTTGTATGTGTAGCAAAACGCCTCTGTCGTTTCAATCGGCCAATCGTATAAATTGGCATGTAGACTCATATGGGTCTCCGGAATAACTAAAAATCGTACTTACACATATACTTACAAGAAAGAGCTAAAATGAAAAAAAGCTATTAGTCTTATTATATTAGACCCATAATATAAATAAATGAAAGTAAATGAATTAAATAAATACACATACATAAATAATAAAAGCAAAACTAAATGAAAGAAAGAATAATTAAATAAATATAGAAATAAATATCAACAAATAAACAAAACACACCTGATAAATAAATAAGCAATAAAAAAATAAATCAATACATAAATAAATAAATAAATACATAAATGAATACATAAATAAATAAATATATAAATAAATAAAAGCAAAAGTGAAATGTACAAATAATTAAATAGACATGAAAAAATATATATGAACAAATAACCAAACAAACAGACCCATAATATGAATAAATGAAAATAAATAAATGAAATAAATACACATACATAAATAATAAAAGCAAAACTAAATGAAAGAAAGAATAATTAAATAAATATAGAAATAAATATCAACAAATAAACAAAACACACCTGATAAATAAATAAGCAATAAAAAAATAAATCAATACATAAATAAATAAATACATAAATAAATACATAAATAAATAAATAAATAAATAAATAAAAGCAAAAGTGAAATGTACAAATAATTAAATAGACATAAAAAAATATATATATGAACAAATAACCAAACAAACAGACCCATAATATAAATAAATGAAAATAAATAATTTAAATAAATACACACGCAGAAATAATAAAAGCAACACTAAATGAAAGAAAGAATAATTAAATAAATAAACAAAACACGTGATAAAAATAAACAAAAATAAATATGTACATACATAAATTATAAATAAATATAAGCAAACTAAACATAATTAAATAAATAGAAGAACAGATAATTAAATAAATAAAGATGAACAAATAAAGAAACAAACATACGCAATCACGTGACATAGCGCGATATAGTCCAGCCCACATGATAATTGATAACTGTGGACGTTATTTGTCGACACTTGACAACAGACAACATTAAAAAAAAAACCATTACACGATACCATAACACCTTGACTAAAGTCTTCGGTGTAATAATGGAGTGAGTACTCTCATATAGGTCTTGCTGATTTTTTTTTCAGAAAAAGTCTCATAATTCGTTCACGCTCAATTTTGATTTTTCGCGGTTCGACTTGTCATTTTTTTTAAATTTGGTTCATTTCTATCGTTAAAAAGAAAGCAAACTCCACATTAAACAGCAAAATTGTAAAGGTCACGAGAAACGTGATCGACTTCTAATTTCGAAAATGGAATTTAACCATCAGATTTCTCAGCGAAATAAAATTTTTACGTATTGATTCAGTTTTCTCAAATTGGGTTGATTTACACAAAAAAATGTCCATTCTAAAAGATTCTAAAAATTCGAAGAGCTTTAAGGCCATCTTTTTTTTCTTTGAAATTCGAAAAATGAAGATTTTTGAAAAAACAAGTCTGTTTTTTTTTTCAGTTTCTTTGCGTTCATTACTCTTTTCCAGCTGTTTGTTGGCTATGTTCTTATAATTTAAATGAAAAATCTAATGCGCTATGGTCGCAACTTTTTACCTTTTCAAAAAACATTTAAAAGACGTTTAGGCAAGAACCAAAAGAAAATTCAATCATTCTAAAGTCTGGACTATTCCTGAATTCCTTTTGAAAAAAAATCCAAAACTCTTTGAAGAGGATGAACTCAGATTCAAGACAAGACAAAACCTGCCCTCTTTTTGTCCATTATCTTACGTGTACATAACCACTTTAGCCTCGAAATAGTCAACTGAAAACAGCAAACTACATGCTTAGAAAATCTAACCTTTAGCAAACCGCTTTTCACTATAAACTCGCCTGAAATGTTTCAAGGTTTCATAGCTGGATTAGCTTGATAAAAAGCAGGTAAGATTTCGCCATCCGGAAATAAAGTGAAACAATTTTTAAAATTTTAAGCTAAAATAGCTGGCTAAACGTTTGGGCTTATCAGAAAGAACTTGGGTAATTTTGTAATTCATCGCCCGATTAAGTTGCTTAGAAAAACTAACTTTTCGCAAAAAGTTTGGGTTTATGAAGCAACTTCAAGTATTTCCTTTTTATAGCTTCAAAAGCTTGCTAAAGACAAACTGAATTTTTTTCGAACTGATTTGCTGTATAAACTATAAAACAATTTTGAAATATTTGATGAACTCTGGTGGATCCCCGAAGGTCCTGATTCTTTTTGCTGGAAATGATCTTCTATTTTAAGGATGTGCATTCAAGCAATTTAATGCCATGATGAATGCCTCTACGCAGGGGCGGATCCAGGATTTTCTCAAGGGGGGGGGGGGAGGTTTTTCATAAAAATTTTCGAAAATTTTGACCTTTTTTTTAGGTCGACCAAATTGATTTTCCGAGCTCTCCTAAATCACTTAAAAGACGCTGTTTCAAATTTTTTGCACCGCATGCAAATTTTTGAAAAACGGTCAAAAAGCCGTTTTTGGGCACTTGTTGGAAAATTTTGACAAAGATATCGCGTTTTTTTTGGCGCGCGCTCCCCCTCAAAATTGGCGCTTTTACAAAAATTTTAAGGTCGGTCGGCCAAAAATTGGATTTCTTAAAAAGTACCAAAGGGGGACCCGTTGGGTCAGCAGGGGTCGAATCCCTGAGGGGGGAGGGGGTGGGGGGAGGTCGTCTGCCTTACGCCCCCCCCCCCCTAAATCCGCCCCTGCCTCTACGTATGTTTGCACTACTAAGATAATGGAGTGAGTACTCTCATATAGGTCTTGCTGATTTTTTTTTTCAGAAAAAGTCTCATAATTCGTTCACGCTCAATTATGATTTTTCGCGGTTCGACGTGTCATTTCTTTTTAAATTTGGTTCATTTCTATCGTTAAAAAGAAATCAAACTCCACATTAAACAGCAAAATTGTAAAGGTCACGAGAAACGTGATCGACTTCTAATTTCGAAAATGGAATTTAACCATCAGATTTCTCAGCGAAATAAAATTTTTACGTATTGATTCAGTTTTCTCAAATTAGGTTGATTTACACAAAAAAATGTCCATTCTAAAAGATTCTAAAAATTCGAAGAGCTTTAAGGCCATCTTTTTTTTTCTTTGAAATTCGAAAAATGAAGATTTTTGAAAAAAACAAGTCTGTTTTTTTTTCAGTTTCTTTGCGTTCATTACTCTTTTCCAGCTGTTTGTTGGCTATGTTCTTATAATTTAAATGAAATATCTAATGCGCTATGGTCGCAACTTTTTACCTTTTCAAAAAACATTTAAAAGACGTTTAGGCAAGAACCAAAAGAAAATTCAATCATTCTAAAGTCTGGACTATTCCTGAATTCCTTTTGAAAAAAATCCAAAACTCTTTGAAGAGGATGAACTCAAATTCAAGACAAGACAAAACCTGCCCTCTTTTTGTCCATTATCTTACGTGTACATAACCACTTTAGCCTCGAAATAGTCAACTGAAAACAGCAAACTACATGCTTAGAAAATCTAACCTTTAGCAAACCGCTTTTCACTATAAACTCGCCTGAAATGTTTCAAGGTTTCATAGCTGGATTAGCTTGATAAAAAGCAGGTAAGATTTCGCCATCCGGAAATAAAGTGAAACAATTTTTAAAATTTTAAGCTAAAATAGCTGGCTAAACGTTTGGGCTTATCAGAAAGAACTTGGGTAATTTTGTAATTCATCGCCCGATTAAGTTGCTTAGAAAAACTAACTTTTCGCAAAAAGTTTGGGTTTATGAAGCAACTTCAAGTATTTCCTTTTTATAGCTTCAAAAGCTTGCTAAAGACAAACTTAATTTTTTTCGAACTGATTTGCTGTATAAACTATAAAACAATTTTGAAATATTTCAAAGTTTTGTCGCTTTTTTAGTTGTTGCTTTATCTTGCTTATAAACACAACTACTTTTGCAAAACAAATTGGCTTAAAATCAACTTGAAATGTTTGGAGTTTTCATAGATTCAATAGCTGGCTTTCGTAGAATTTGATCTTTTCTTGAACTTATTCGCTCTTTAGAAAAATCTGAAATTTTTCAATAATTCTGTGCTTAAATACCTAGCATAGGCAAAACATTTTTGCAGAACGATTCGGTCCGAGAAATCATCACTTGAATGTCTTTATTAGAAAAACTGACAGCCATACGATCACGTAATGATATAACTTAAAATTTTCAATGCTTTAAAACTTGATTAGCTTTTTTAAATGTGTTTTGATTTTGTTGCGGATCGACTCGCTCTATAAAATTGTTTTGAATTGTTTTTGCTTATTTGTTTGTCTAGAATAACTTACTTACTCCGGACCAGTTCGATCTAGTTTGACCGCTTGAGTGGCTTCAATATAAAAACTTAAGTTTTCCATCATTCGATTTGTTTTGTTATAAATGTGAGTAGCTTGAATAGTTTGCTTAGAAAACTTGAAATTTTGCGAACCAATTCGGTCTAAAATTTATTTCCAAATTTCTTCGGTTGAATGGCTCTAATATAAAACAAAGGTTTTTGCCGTTTAATTTGGTCCTGAAAATTACTATTTCAGAGTTTCATTGCTATAATAGCTTGTTTAGTAAGAAAAGCTTAAATTTTCCGCTAACCGGTTCAGTCTAAAAAATTAATTTTATTTATTTCTAAAATTCTTTGGTTGAATAGCTTCAATAGAAAAACTTTTCTTGACTACCCGATTTTCTCAATAAAATATCTTGGAAAATTTCAAAGTTTATTAGCTTAATTAGCTTGCTTAGAAAAAACTTCAACTTTTTAGAAAATGGTTTGGCCTATGAAATAGCTTCAAGTACTTCAACATTTCATCGCTTGAATAGCTTGCTTAGAACAACTAAAGTTTTTGCAAATTGATTTGGTCTATGATATAATTAGAAAAAAAATCTTTCAATGATACTTTAAATTTTTCAAAACCAATTTTCGATATGCCTTAACTTGAAATTGTTTGATGCTTTATTGCTTTAATAGTCCAATCAGAACAACAACTAATTTTTTGCAAGCCCATTGATTATAGGAGACGGGCTTGCTAGTTTGGATTTAAAACAGTTTCTGCTAAGGTTTTTGTAAATTGTGTTACAAATTAGAAAAATCTACAAGTCACGGAAAACAAAACAAGATGGATTTCTAATTTCGAAAACGAATTAAATTTTCCAGATCCCCCATTGGAATAAAAATTTAATCTATTGATCCAGTCTTCTCAAACTAAAATTTTTTCATCAAAAAAGCCAATCATAAAAAGAAAACAATCAAAGTTCAAATCATTTCTTTTTTAAGCAATCCATGAAGGTCCGAACCATTTAGGAAGCTTTTTGATTTAACTATTGTGTCTGAGAACCCTTCCATCAAATGCTTGAATTGAATTTCTACCAATTGCTTCTTGGTGTTAATCACTCCAAAGCAGCATTCGTCAAAAATTTTCCGACAATTCAGAAAACTTTTTTTAGATAATCATGCGTTTTTTTGTGCATCTCTTGCATCTACAGAAACCTATATACATTAATGTAAGAAACCGCGTGTTCATTGGCTATTTGGCTTTGCTTATGACCGTTCGCTTTGAGCTTCATAATGCAATTTTATTGCAAAAGAGGCGTATCTGGTGCCATGAAACAAAAATGTTTGAATGGGCCAACCTCGTGAACTTACTTTTTTGAATCACATGGTGGCTGACAAATGCATGATAAACTTAGATGACGTAAAAAGAAAAAAAATTATTATGACTATCACAAATTATAAGCTTTTATGATGAAATTTAAAAAAGCTGTTAAAAAGGTTAAAACTTTAGAGAACACAACTGTAATTGTTTGGAATGGACGTCAAATTAACTTGCTTACACAAAAGTAAGTATAAATCAATTTAGGTCAATTAAACACAATTAAACAATACCCCCAAAATGGGTAGAAAAGTGTGAATGATGATGGAATTTATCTTTTGCTTGAGTCGTGTGTTTTTTTTGTTTTTTTTTTTGTAATCAGGAAGGATTTTGGTTTTTGCGGTTTAATTGCTGATTTTATTTTTTGAATAGTTTTTGGTTTCAACATCAATAACTTTAAAAACCTGAATTATTTATAATTCAAGAAACGGACCTCTGTTTTCGGAACTTCTAGCGTTGAAAAAGTTATATGATAAAATAAGTTAATCATAAATTTTTCTGAAACTCGATAAGCTTAAGTTGAAAGATTTGTTTTTCGAAATTTGTTCTTGAAAATAGGTTTCGGTCTTCTTCAGTTCTTTTACATTTGTTAACTGTGGTGGCTTTTTTGCACAGAAAAAAGTTAATTGTAAATTGTCGTTCCTGCGATTCGCAGACGATCTATGAAATAAGCATATAGTCTATTTCTCTTATTTCCCCACATTCCAGACTGTTATTTTGTTGAGCGAAGCTCTTTTTTTGCGACTCAAGGCCGTTTTTTTTCTGCGTCCAGAACTATCACGTGGTGCAACTATTGCAGCCAAAATCGGCCAGGCTAATAGGGTAGTGGAAGTACAAAACGACCCTTAAACTGATAAATTACAATTCTGTCTAAAAGTCTGTTGGTTTTGTTCTTGAATTCATTGAATCTTCATTCAGAAATTGCATTCAACTTATGTTTTAATGAGTTAAATTATTTCTTAAGTCTTTTTTGAGGTTGCAACTCGATCAAAATTGGGTATTTTTATTTCAGCTGATCCCAGTGGCTATTGCAACAATTGTGACAAAGTGGATAACACCGGCTGTTGTAACGAGTGGTTTGTTCCTGCCTGCAAGGCGGATTGCTGCAATGATGGTGGAGGAATGAGCTCAGACCTGGGACCTGACTGTCAAAAATTTGTAGATGGGCATGAATCGTGTCTCTCGGGGGGTGGGGCTGCTGGAGCACAGGGTGGCGAAGGCGATCCGGGAAACTACTCAGATAGACTATCAGTGCAAAAAGCACTTTCAATTTTTTCATTAACCGTATATGCAGTAAAACGCTACCAATGATACATTAAAGAGAAATGGATTAGTTGAAAATATCAAAATGAAGCCAAAATCTGAAACGAAAACATGAATAAAGAATGCAGTTGAAAGCGATATGAAAATTTTTCATTTAGAGAATTATGATAAGCAAAATAGATTTGTTATCATTCAGTTGAAAAGTGTTTAGAGCGCTGTAAGATAAATGATGGATTTATAAAGGATACACAGAAACGAACCTCTCGTTTTTCATGGAAGAAGATAATTATCTTCGTTCAGAATAAATAGATATGAATTGCTTCCAATATCTGATATTTGGTTACGAATGTTTATATACCAAAATTTGTTATATTTAAAAATATTATTATATACCAATGTGCAAATTGCATTGCAATGGAAGTTATAATGTGAACAAAATTGCTTCAGAGGAAGAATGTCCTCTGCTTATATCAAACAATTCATAATTTGAGTTCAAAACTTATTGAAGGATCTTTTTAGTTCTGAGATTTCAAAAACGAAACCAGTATTTTGCATTACAAGGCCAAACTGTGTGCTGGATAGGCGCACAATTTGGTGTTTTCAGGTCACTGAATTGAGAGAAAAGTCTTCGAACATTTTCCATTTTGAGAAGGAATTCAACTCACAAAAATTTCGTGGATTCCGCATACCATTTTGTGTAACATGAAATTTGTCGGCTCTCTTGTTTTTTCGCAGATTCCGCCACGAGTGAATAAATCTAGTTCCAAATTCTGACATTGCAAATGGATTTAACACACTATGGATTTTGAGAAAATTATGATCGGTGTTTTTTATCCGAGTTTCCAATTCATTTGTTTTGCAGAAAAAAGAGCGATTTTAATTGATCATAATCCCTTTGGTTCGCCTTTTTTGATGAGTTCGTCCTTGAATTTTCATGCTTATTTTTTATGCTTTTCGAAGACGTTGATTTATGTGAAAAATGGGGAAAATGATTTAAAATATTTCAAATCATTCCTTCTCATTTTTTTTTTCATTCCTTCTCGACCACAGTTGTTTCATGATGCACATTTTTGATTCACCAAAAAATCAACACATTGCTTGAGTTTGATTTGTTCGGTCGAGTTATTTTTCACCTACCGCTGGAACCTTTAAACTAATATAATGGGATTTCTATGAAACTTCTGTTTTGTGGCAGAACTTTGTGTTCAGATAGGTCACAAGCCATTTTTGACAGAAAAAGTAAATATAATCTCTTATGGGAGATTATAATAGATTATAGGAGATTATCTGAAAAATATAATCAATTATAAACGATAATAATTTATTATCTCTTTTTTTAATGAGTGCAGGTGATCTAAAAATTTATAGTGGATATTAAAATTGTTTATAGAAATGAACTAAATTTTTTATTGCGCAAACAATTAAAAACTTGATCCAGAATTTTTATTCAGCGAATGCGGAAGAAAAAACATCTAACCCCTGTCAGTGGAATCAAATCACAAATCTTAAATCATTCGTTAACTAGAAGGGAGATGCAGCTTTCAGTAATTGAGATAAGATTTGTTCGGTACCGAATAATCAGAATCACTTATTTAAATTTTATAGACATTCAATCAAAGGGCAGCAATTGAGATGAGAAGTTTAGAAAGAATCCAAATCATCGTGAAATGATGTTTAAAGGGGTTATCAAGTACTGCTTAACGGACGGCAGATTGTTTTATCTGAACGAATAGAAAAATGACTTAAACTGAAAAAAGGATTTTTTGATTTTTTTCCCTAGAGTTTAAACAGAAAATAGCAGAAAAATGATCAAATGGTCATGAGTGGGTTAATAAGTTTTTCAAGCCATGGCAACAAAACAATTTTTTGGGGGAAAAAAACCGAATAAATTTTCTGTGAAAAAATTATTTCTTGGCAACAAAAACTTTGAAGAAAAAGACAAAAATCTGTCCTTGTTTTACTAATGATTTTTTTTAAATGATTTTTTTGTCGGAAGAAGTTGTCAATAAAGCCTAGTTTACTTAGCTTAGCTGCTGTTTATCCACTTTTGATGGATCCCTTGCTCTAACTCAGGTTTGAAAATTAAAAATCACTGGTTAGTTATCTGCGCAAAAACATTTGGAACAGATGTAAAAAAAATGGTGTAAATGGTTTTTCTTAATCTGCCCCTAAAATGAAAATCTTTGATCAGTTACGACCAAGAAGAGTATTTTCTTAAGATAAACAAATAACTACCAAAATTTGAGGCACTCGATGTTAAATGTTTCACAGAGTTTTTACACTCTCGTGATTGTCAATCTATAAAACTATATTTCGCCGCCGAGACAAGAATATCCGTCTCTATAAAGGAAACTAATTGAACATTTGAGCAATATACTAATTGTATCTAGCATCGATCGGCACAGATTTCGTCCGACTAGAGATTTCGTCCTAATCATTTAAATAACAGATTTCGTACCATATCCAACATCCTATCGTCCAATCATCCCATATCCAAATTTGTTGGACGAAATCTGTGTACGCTTCGAAATAGGACGAAATCTGTTGAAACTAAAATGAAACGAGATCTGTCACAGCCCTTGAATCGTAACCTACCCTTTCCTACCTGCGAAAGGGGAGTGGGAAATGACAAGAAATCCTTCATCTTTCAAATTCTGATGAAAACATAGAAGCTAAAAATTTATTTTTATCGTCAGTCAAGCTTAATGATGGCAACAATTTGAGAAAGAATATTGTCAAATTGAAAAATTGCTGGGTCAAATTTATCTGAACTTTGTCTTCTTAGTCTTTTCCTTGTTTTTTCAGTAATATTCTTTTTCTTTTCTCGTCAAAACGCAGGTACTTTTTTCTTCTCCCCAACTTGAGGGATGCCGGCTTCAGTTTTCTTCAGCGTGGGGGTACGAGCTGCGCTTTTTGTCTGTTTCCGGAAACCAGTTTTTCTTCTTTTCAATTTCTGGGTACCAATTTTTCTTCTCGTCAATTTCTGGGTACCAATTTTTCTTCTCGTCAATTTCTGGGTACCAATTTTTCTTCTTGTCAATTTCTGGGTACCAATTTTTCTTCTCGTCAATTTCTGGGTACCAACTTTTCTTCTCGTCAGTTTCTGGGTACCAATTTTTCTTCTCGTCGACTTCTGGGTACCAATTTTTCTTCTCGTGAATTTCTGGGTACCAGTTTCGTTTATCACCGACTTGGGGGTACCATTGCCGTTTTTTCTCTTCCCCGTCCTCGCTAGCCAAAGTGATTAAGGGGAGTAAAATAATGACCCCGAGGGTTCCAAAAATTGCAGAGGCCAGCTTCATTTTTCGAGCTGTGTTTATATAGATGAGATGAAGCCGCGCAAAATAAATTACTGTAGTGAATAAAAGGACGCTCTCAAAAGAAAGTAATATTTTGTCAAAAGATGACAAGCAACCAGACACAAATAATGAAAAATCTGCTCCTAGTCAGGAGAAAAAGTTAATAAATGGTTGCTTTTTTGCATTTTTTGATATTGTTGGTTGATTACTGTTTATTAAAATTGCATTTGTTCTCAAAAAAAGACCTGAAGTTTTGAAAATATTTTAACAAAAGGGAAAAGTTGGCTGATTTCAGAAAAAATACACCAACCAAAAACTGAATGACACCGCGTAAAAACTGTTTACTGATGATAATCACCGAGATATTTCCATTTTTTCCCACTTTTATATGAGAGGTGATGCCGTCTGCTTTTTTGCTAGTTGTCATAACTTTTGAGATGAAAGCTCGCCATGAAGCTTTCCCATGTGTTCAGATATGGTCTTTTTTGAACGCCATCGTCACGTTTAGTTTACCTATGAAATTACTCAGAACTAGAAACAAATGCGACAAAAAGAAAAAGTTTTTGATATTTTAGAATTGCCAATTTGAGGCTTGTAATCAAAAAGTTCCAGCGCACTGATGCTTTTAAATTTTAAAAAATAACTTCATTCCCCTATTCACAATTAAATTTCAGATTTGAAAAATAAATTATTTAGCGTTGTCACAATGCAATTAAATTTCGCATGGTGATCAAAATATCTATTTTGAACAGATTTTTTTTTTCATATTTCACATCACAACATCACGCTTTCAGTCATAATAACACCAAAAACAACTATGAAAAAAATGAAGTCTGGGGGTGGGCAGGAAATAACTTGAAGTTTGTCTGAACATTTTTGAGCTAAAATACAAAAATAGCTTTAGGGCCCCTTTTGTTCTATAAATGTGAAAATCTCAGTCTAATCAATTTTTACTCTAAGTAAACTAAAAACCAGGCAAAACGAACAAAAGCACAAGTAAATTGGTGTGCTTGGTTATGCGCCTTAAATAAATTTGAACAACAAAAAAGGGAACATATGCATTCTGTTTTGTTTTTGATCGTCGTCAAATAAGACGAAATTTAAATGATACTTCATCCTTAAATCTATTTTTAGTGTATTTTTTGCTTTTTTTTGTTTTTATCATGAAAATTGGAATTGAAACAAACAACTGGAACACTTTGAGCTAGAAAATGGAAGTGAGTTTTATAAAATAATGTCAGCGGAAAAAGAAGTGTTATAATGGTCCAAGAATAAAGTTCTTAGCTCTGGCGAAGTTGCCGACAGAAACTTTTTCAACTTGAGACAAATGAAGAAGCACTTGTTTACCGGAGGAGGTAATAACTGGGACAACTGCTGAACTTGGAAATGAGAACAGTAGTCAGAGTCAATCTTCTGACTTCCCTCAACCAGCTCAACAGGAGGAATAGGAAAACAGGGATGGGTTAATTGGTTGCAGATTTAAGCATAAAGTTCTAAAAGCAGACTAGCCATTATTTGAAATTACGAGCCTTGCAAAATTGTTCTAAAAGAGTTTCCACAAGGATCACTTTGCTTGAGTTTACTTCTATTCTATTTGGCCTCGATTTTGGAAAGTTTGCGTTGACAATAGCTTGGGAACCACTAAGAAAAAAATTGAGGATAAGTCAGCCAAAAAGAATTACCAAATGGGGGACACTTTCGGCGGACAAGGAGATATCTGCGAGACTGGGCATCTGACCCCCCTAAATCAGCTACTGATCATAATGCCTTTCAATATTATCATCAGTAGACAGAAAAATTGAAATATGCTAACAAATTTTAGAGCTTAAAAGTCATTCAAAAAAACTTCAAGTAAACTTTGACTGAAATTATTTTTTTTCTCTGCTGCTAAGTATGTCTGTCCAATTAATCAATTCTGGTGGTAAATTCAATTTGGTGGCAGACCTCTCTGCTCTAAGTTGGAGTGTGGATGAATAAATTAATTTGTTTACCGGAACAACAACAACAGAGCAGAGCC